CTATCATATTTTATGGTTGTGTATTACCATAGATACAAGATGAAAAACCACCAAAGCCGACTCGTGGCCAGTCGAAAGGTGGTAGCTCCAAAGGTGGTGGTGGTGAAGACAATGATGACAGTAACAATGAGGATGATGAAAATGAGGCTGGTGCTGCTCATGCTGTTGAGGACTTGGTGCCAAGAGTAGATATTGGACCTCTCATAACATCACAGATAATAGAAGAAATGGGTGATCAAAAGTGGAAAGTCAGAGGAGAAGCATTAGAAAAAGTAGGGTTTTCAGAACATTATCTCTTGTGGTTAATAATTTGGGTTCTGCTTGTCTTTGTTGGTGCATGTACAACACTTGAAAGTATCAGTAATTTGGAATTCTTCTTCCAGGTCCAAGGGATTATTAATGATGCTAAATTTATCACATCAAATTTGGGTGATCTTCCACCTGCTCTGAAAGCAAGACTTGGGGACAACAACAAAAAACTGGTAAGTTTGTGTGTTATCTGTTAACAATATTTTGGTGGTTATTTGTCCCGGTTTCCAGATTCAGACGGAGTCTGATGGAATATTGATAATGGATCAGCAGTTGTCATAATTAGGACTGTTGTACTAAAAATTAAACATTTTTATGTGCGAAGCACACAATGGAAGTATTATTTCTGTATGTATGTATGTGTGTATGTATGTACAGTATGTATGTATATGTGTGTGTATGTTCCACTGTTATCTTAAAGAACTACTTAACATAAAACTTGGTACATTGAGTATCTGACACAATGTGTAGGCTTTTAATTATAATACCAAAATATATTCTTGTCTCCTCGGTGTAAATATAGAAGAAATATGTCATTGCCTTTAATATATGTACCATTCCTATTTTTATTCAGGCATCAACTGCAACATCTATCTGTCAACAAATAGCAACTTCTATGGGACCTAGCTGTAATAAGTATTTTAAAATGTTTGCTCCAGGTATACTCAATCTGTGTTCTGACAATAAGGTAAGAATTTTCCACAATCACCTTATTAAAGATTGTGTGTCTATTCAAATTTGCCAAATATTTGAACATTTTATTTTTCTTGGGCCCCCAAATTCACAATTTCTCTTTTTTTCAAGGCTGCTGTCCGTAGTGTTGCTATTGCGTCATTGAATGCCTGGGTTGAACAATGCGGACTTGCTCCTCTGTTTGAAGATGAAATCATGTCTTCAGCTTTGAGCACTGATAACCCTTATCTTAGAGTAGAGGTAAGCTTTTCATTCATCATATATACTACCATTTGTATCCAATTGTTCCCACTATTGAAGATCACTGATAATGTAAAAATGTTCTTTACTTTTTGAACATAGATCTATGGGTGGCTAGAACAACAGATGCCAAAGTGTCGATCTTTACCAAATGAAGGTGTTTTGCAATGCATACCTTTGTTGTATGCAGCCTTGGAAAATAGGAATGCAGACGTCAGGAAGAATGCACAGGGAGCTGTCCCAATGTTTATGATGCATTTATCATATGAAAAAATGTTTAAAATGGCTGGTAAACTCAAGGTAAAGTATATTGGTACAAGAGCTTGAAATGCAATTGATCTTATGCAGATTGAGAGTCCCAACGTTTGGAAAGTGTAGCACTATAGCTACTGTGTATTTAATTTATTGTGATTTATTCTTGTCATAGACTTCATCAAAAGATCAAGTAGTTGGTATTTTAGAAAAGCAACGGGGTAACGTACCTGAAAAACCTGGTAAAGCCAAAAAGTCTAAAGCTGTAGATAAAAAAGAACCAGAGAGTAGTACAGCAGAGCCGGAACAAAAGAGGCCAAAAACTGCTCCTTCAAAAATGAAGGTGAGTTTTGTTAAATATTTGTGTTTGTACATGATTGTGATATGATTTGTATTCTTTATGCAGTATTTCTGATAATACCAGTGCCAATTTTTCAACTGATTTAATTTAAGGGGTAGGTATCACTATATCACCAATGTAACCATGCAAATAATGATATAAAGCAGTGTTAATTGTGGTTTAGATAGAGATTCTCAAAATCTTATATTAAATTTTTATAATTCAACAATTGATGAAACCATATCTGCCCTATAAATGAATTTTTGCAACAAAAAAAATAAATTGCTTGAATCGTCTTTTAGGACTACAGTTTTCATGGCACCAGCTGAGAGATATAAAAAAAACAAATGTATATGTTGTGGCATGTTGAGGGCGCTCATTTATTTTGTAATAATTTTTTTTGCTGTTTCCCCTCATACATTAATGGTACTGCACAGGTGAGCAAGTCAATGTCCTGTATTCCAGCAGAGGTTAATTCTGAAAAGAACAAAGCAGAGAGACAAAATGCTTTGGTAGATGGTCCTCTAAAGTCCAATTTGGCAGTCAGGAAGGGCTCCAAGGGCAATATTGCTAAGCCAAAGGTAGACTGATGAGGATTTTAAGTTCAGTCATATAACAATAAAAAACAGAACAAAAATCATCTTCTCTAACTAAAATCATTCTAGACATTTTTCTAACATTGAATTAATCTCACATTATCATCTGGAATTGTCATCTATAATCTAAAACAGTTTGTGTAAGATTTTAAATGAAAATAATGAGATGGCTGGTAATGCTTGATGATTCCTCTATATTCTTAACTAAACTTCACTTTGAACAATTGTCATTACTTATTCATATTATGGTATTACAGTACTTGGTGGGTTCAGCATGTATCAATGTTTGCTACACAAGAAAGCTTGATAGGTCTTCATCCTTACCAGCATTCCTGTTGACACACCAATATGTTACCACAGGGAGTTGGACAAACTTGTGTATAAATAAATAAATTAAAAATTTATTTAAATTCATATTTGAAGTAGAAACCATTTTACAGGATAGTCACTGATTCATTGAAGTTGCGTCGCGTCAGAGATTACACTCGCCGGATTTTAATTTCGCGCTCAGCATTTCCTGTTTATTAGTGCATCTCATGAATAAATTATATGCCCACCCGCTTTATGGTTGTGCTCATGCCACAGTCTTGGCAAGTTTCAACCCTTGGGATATTTTACTATAATAGGGTGTGTCTACATCGCGTTAAAATTTGCATATAGCATTAGCATGTAACAAAGATTGTGATAAAGGAAAGAGTGTCTACTTGAAATCGATACCGGGAAGGGGGGGGGGGAATAGAAAAGTTATATAACATTTTATTATTTAATAATTTATTAAAATACATAAGTTTGTCCAACTCCCTGTGATGTTACTAACGTATTACTTCATTTACATTACATGTGAATAATACCTGTCCAATTATGTACTAATTAATATTATTTTTCTCAATTATATGCATTCAAATATTAGTACATGTATACCTGAGACACATGTTATTATAATTTCTATCATATCTTTTAAGTGTGATATTGTTTGGGACTACCGTAAAAATCTTGAAATATGCACCAGTCAAGAATGAAAATGACTATTGTTTGCGGGTTCTCAATACGGTATATGCTTTGAGTGACTTAATGTTGACTGCTGTTTTCTTCCACGTCTTATGATGAATATTTATAAACTGTGTTTCGATATACTTTTGAATGAACATATGTTATTATAATAAGGATGTAGAAGTTTGCAAAAAGTCCTAGCAGTTATTTTTTTCCTGAAATGTTCGTTAGCGGTATATGTTTTATTGATTGCTGATGTTAATGATTCCAGATTATCTGCAAACAAATCAATCATACATTGTTTTAGCTGTTACATATTTTCCATATTAAATCTGATAATACTAACAGTGTACGTTTCCTTTCAGGCTGGAAGTAAGAAAAGTGCTGCTGCGGCTGATGAAGACACATCCCCTCCATTGACAAGCAATAATGGTAAACACAAGCGTATCAAAGATGAACATGATCTCAAGGTACAACATGTCTAACAATGCAATGACACAAGCTGATTGATAATTGCTCTGATGTTACACAGTGAAATTCATCTGGCCAAGTCAACAGAATGTGATTTAACCAAACGATAGCTGAGTTAACTGACCTTGTTTGTTGTATTTTAGGTGCTCAAGTGGAATTTTACATCTCCTCGTGATGAACACATTGATCAATTGAAGGACCAAATGCAAGCGTCATTCAGTAGAACTCTCATAACTAGTTTGTATCATTCTGATTTCAAACAACATATCAGTGCACTTGGTATACTTATAGAGGTAGGTAATTGTTACCCTGGATCTTAAGCATGCATTAGGCAGTGTTCTCACCAGATTCTGTTTTTGTGGGGTCATAAAGGCCCATCGTTTGAAAAATGCAGGGCCATAAATTATAAAATAGGGCCGGGGGTAAATTTTAGTTTAGTTTTCGTTAAGTTTAGGGAAATGTCCACCTACCTGTCAAAGGATGAAAATTTCCATGGTGTAACCATTAATGGGTAAATAAAATTGGATTATTAAAGGTAAAATTGCAGCCCTTATTGAGTTAACATTTATAAGTAATCATAAAGTCATCACACACATTATTTATTCCATTACTATTAGTTTTTAAATTATTACTTCCCCGTGTCATAGCAGTATTATGTTTTGAAAATACACACCAACTACAGTACATCAAATTTTCATCATCCCTGTATTTCAGCCATGGATGAGTTGTTAATCAACTTCGTTGAAATCGTCGATGTTCCTTGGCTTTATTATTAGTGACACTCCCCACAGCCACCGCTGTGCTACCAGACTCAATACCATCAGCATTTTGCATGTCTGCTGGAAAATTTTCTAAAGATACTGATTCTGTCGCCGGGGTTTTCAGTCCATCGCTGACACTTTGAGCATCATGTACCAAATCAGGGTTTTGGCAAATTCCAAAATTCAATAAAGTCTGTGGCGTTTTGGCTTGCTCATGGCGCCCATTCCATGAGGCTTGAAATGAGTTGCGTATATTGCAAGACATTGCTCAATTGTGGTACCCCTCTAGGGAATAAATTACTACGTTGATTGCGCCACCATATGATCAAAATGGGAAAGCCGTTTGGACGCAATTTTTTTTTCTGCTCCAAATGTGGCCCGATTTAATTGAAATTTTGCGTCAAATTTTGAAATATTGCACAAATGGCGCAAGGGCGCAGCCTGGTGATAACACTGATTATGTTTTTTTTTTATATGAACATGTTGGAAGCTTGATGCATGTCACTTGTTTAATGGATCTCTTTTAAATGACAATTGAATTTTACTACGTTTAGCCCCAAATTTGGAAATTTGGAAAGCACACTAAAATAAAATTGGCAACCCTTGGGGTTCCTGTTGATAAGATGTCAATCGTGGACAGGTCTTTTTTCAGAGTACTACTTTCATGTTCAACAGCATTTTCAACAAAATATGATAACAGCACATGGGTTTGGCTACCATTTTCAAAAATGTAACGTTTCATCTCTAAATCTCACAGTTGTCTCAGTTCCAAAAGGCACCAGTGTTAGAACTTAAGTCCTAAAACTAATGAATGGGTGCTAGGGGAGTGTCGCCATATAGTAGCTACATGTATGAATAGAAATCTATGCAAACGAGTAAGTTGTAGAATTTAGTAGGAGTGTGTAAGTAGGCCTTTATAGCAAAAAGTTTGACTGTTATTTCCAGAATCTGAAATCTGTTATCAAAATCAAAAATCATTACGAGTTGAATGTTTCAGCTGTGAACACACCCAAATATTTTGATAAATGAAAATGTTGCTGTTTTGATGTTCAGAACAATATGGTAGTGACAGTATTGACTTCTATGAATTTATTGATTTGGTGCTTAGACATAATATTGTATAAACATTGTCATAATCTGTAGATACTGTAGAATACTTTATTTTCGCTGAAGGGATGATTCCGTGAAAATAAAATCCAGCGAATATACTTTTTTTCTTATATTTCACATTAAACTCATCAGAAATCAGTGAAAATAAATTCCATACAAAACGCCCAAAAAGCCTTTTCAGCGAAAATTAATTCCAGCGAAAATAAAGTATTCCACAGTGATCTGAATGTTCACTGTGATTGTATGTCAGATTACACAGTGATCTCGCTCAAGGTACAATAATCATTTACTAAAATTAATCAGGATTATTATTATTATTATTATTATTATTGCAGTGTGTTGAAAGTAATAAAGATGCTGTCATCTGTAACTCTGATTTGCTGCTGAAGTGGATTACTTTGCGGTTCTTTGACACAAATACTACAGTTATCTTGAAGTGTCTGGAGTTTTTAACAGCACTATTTACAATGCTGGCTGGTGAAGAATATCACCTCACAGAGCAGGAAGCATCTTCTTTTATTCCATATTTAGTTACAAAGGTCAGTGGCAAGAATAACACTCCCTCCCACTTTGTTTGTTTGCCAGTACGGTTGTCAGTCTCATAATTTTTCAGATTTCTTGTGACAAGTTAATATTGCTTTCTCACAGGTTGGTGATTCGAAGGAAGCAGTACGCCGTGATGTGCGTGCAATCATGAAGTTGATTACTAAAATTTATCCTGCCAGTAAAATGTTTGTATATCTCATTGATGGGTGTAAATGTAAGAATGCCAGGCAACGACAGGGTGAGACTTACTCCTTTAATATTCATAATCAGAATCAAGATTTTGGTTTTCTCATCATTGAGCTTAGTTTGTACATCACCTTGCTTGTATCGCCAATTGCTACAATACTTTTCTCTTCAATTTGCAGAATGTATTGAGGAGCTTGGTTGTTTGATAGAGTTATTTGGAATGACTGTTTGTCAGCCTTCGCAGCCTAAGGCAATGAAAGAGATTGCTTCCCAGATTGGCGACAGGGACAACAGTGTGAGATCTGCTGCCCTCAACACGTTAGTACAAGCCTATGCGATTGTTGGTAATGACCTGTATAAGTTAGTTGGAAATGTAAGTACATTAAATATCATATACCTTTCATTATTATCAGTAACATTATCAGTAACGACTACTCAGCATTCACCAATGACTGTTACAGTGAGTGTTAAAGTAATATTATAATTGTTTCTCTGATAAGCACTGCATGGTGTTTACAATATGCAACAATATTGAGACAGATATATTCACTGACATAACCGCAGCCAGCATACTAATTTTATATAAAACTTCAGTGCAAACTAAAACCCAATCGTAGAAATGCATATGGTTGGCATTATGGCAATAATGATGCACAAACACTCACATGTATGAGAATTGTAAATTGCAAAGAAATTGCTTTTATTACATATTGGCAGCTGAATGACAAAGACCTGAGTTATCTTGAAGAAAGGATCAAGAGGTCAGCTAAAAAACCACCCAGTAAAACTCCAGCATCACAAAAGGAAGAAAAACCTGACAAGAAAAAAGGTCCAATGCCGTAAGTACAAATTTCTGTGGACCTATGTAGATTACTTTGAAAGCAGATTAACCTTGCCACAAAATGTCACTCCTGAAAGTTGATTTGCTTTCGTTTCTGTAAAGATCTTGACTTGCTCATAAAATTTATTTGAGTGTGTTGCCAATCACAGGAAATGAAATGATGAATATGCTTTTAATATTATAACACAATAATATACACTCACAAATTTTTGATTTTATACAATATTTATCTGTAAAAAAACTTGACTATTTTAATTTTTTCTTTCATTTCTATTAAACACATGAAATATAAACAACATAAATACTACCATAATTAGTGTCAGGCAAGAATGAAAGACTAAAAAGTGGTTCTAAAAAATACTCACTGATATTAATGTAATAATACGCATTGGTTTTAATTTTGTTGGTTATGAACAGTATATCAAATTAAAAACAAAAATGAATGCATTACTTTAGTAG